ATCCCCATCTTGCGGTCCTAACCAGGGTAGGAAGCTGGGCTCTGGTCTCCACTCATGGTTTTCCTGCGTCCTATTTATGGCTAGAGAAATTGGCCTTCCACTCCTGGTGACTAGAAAATTCACTTCTCTCTATTGAAGCAAAACAGCAAAGGGAAGCACTTCAAAGGGGAGGGACAAAAAACACTTTTTTTTTCTTTAATTTTTTTTTTCTTTGTGAATGAATGGAGTGTTATGTTTGCATGTATTTAAGTGCACCTTCGTCATGCAATGCCCAGAGGGGACAGAGGACAATGTTGGATCCCCTGAACTGTAGTTATGGACAGTTGTTAGCTGCCATGTTGGTACTGGGATTCGAACCTCAGTCCTCTGCAAGACCAGTCCGCGCTTTTTAACAGCTGAGCCATCAGCTGTTTTTTGAGATGGTCTTATGTAGCCCAGGCTGGCCTTGACCTGTTGTTCGACTGTTGCCTCCACCTCCATTCTGGGATGACAAGTGTGAGCCATCATGCTGGGCTTTGGAAGTATTTCAACACTCTTGTTACCTGCCCAAGTGTGGTGGCACCTACCTTTAATCCCAACAGGCAGGCAGATAGATCCCTGTGAGTTTGAGGCCAGTCTGGTCTACACAGAGTTCTAGGCCAGAGTCCCAGGCCAGCCAGGGCTATATAGTAAGACTGTGCCTGTCTCTAAAAAGAAAGAAAAATATATTTCCTGCTTGGGTAAAGGTGCTTGCCACCAACACTGAGAAACCGAGTACGATTCCTGGACCCCACATCTTAGAAGTGGAGAACTGCCTCCCATAAGTTGTCCTCTGACCACATATAGGCAGTGGCATGTGTCCATACACACAAACATACAAGGATAAATGTAATTAAAAAATAAAAAGCTCTGGTTCTCTCCTGTCCATCGTCCTCTGAAAGACGTTAGAGGCCAAGATGGCTGGAACCGGGTCCCTGTCCCTGTGGAGCCGAGTGGGATAGAAAGATAGGGCCCAGCAAACTGAAACCAAATCAGACACCTGGACAACCCAACTTCTGTGACCTGCTGACCCGGATGCCTTGTGTACCCCCATCTACCTGCGGAAGGGTCTAACCAGGGTATATAGCAGGTCCACTTCACAGCTTTCTCCTCGTGTGACCAACCATCTCCTGACAGTCAACAAACATCGGAAGGGTGTTCCCGGGCCAGCGAGGAAGGTGAGGATGCACCTTAGTTTACTCATTTTGTGAGGTTTTACGCGGCTGGAAAAAGCTGGCAGCAATCCAGAGGCCAGAGGGTCCCTGCCGGGGACTGCTGGGAAGGCAGGGAGGCCTCCGCCTTTCCCAGTAAGCGTAGTTCTGGAATGCAGAGGCCCCCACCCGCCCCCGGGCGCCCCAGGGGGCCCAGACACCTGGGCACAGTCCCAGAAAGCCCTACCCCACCCAGGGGGCAGTCCCCTCCGCCTTCTGCCCCTCCTCCCTCTCCTGCCCCGCCCCTCCCCCTTCCGCAAGCTCTACTCTGTCCTCCTCTTTGGGTCTTTCCGCTTTATGTTGGTTAGTGCCTGTTCAAATAAAGACTGGAAATTAAACCAGAAACTTCAACTCTGTCTTCGCACTGAGGAGGGCTTGAGAGTATCGGGGTTCGAATCCAGGCCTGAGAGACATCAACTTTAAAGTAGAGCACTGGGCACGCCCCCTCCTTCCCTCCAAGACACTGCGTAGGGTATGCAGAAGCGAGAATAAGTGTCCCGAGGCTCCTACCCCTCCCCCAGCCCCACCTCACTGCTGGGACAACCGCACCTACCTCCAAACCCTCCCAGAAGACCCTTGAGTCCCCAGTACGGACTGTCTGTCCAGCTTCTTCCTGCCTGGGGGCCTTTGAGCTTGCTCTGATGCATTCTGAGCCCCTCCTTCCAAGGGTGAGTAGGAATTTAAGACTGACGAGAAGACTCAGGATAAAGGAGCTTGCTCCAAGCCTGACAGCCGGAGTTCAATCCCTGGGACCCACACACAGTGGAAAGAGAACCGACGCCCGCAGGTTGTCTTCTGACTTCCACACACCTTACAGCACCCCCACCAAGTAAAAAAAATTTTTTTTTTCTCTTTTTGAAGCAGGGTCTCCCTGTAGCCCCAGATGTCCTGGAACTCACTTTGTTGACCAGGCTGGCCTTGAACTCAGAGATCCGCCTGCCTCTGCCTCCTAAGTGCTGGGACTACAGGCGTGCACCACTACGCCCGGCTCCAAGTAAAAATCTATTTTAAAAATGTACTCAGCCCATACTATTTCCCCAAACAACCCCGGGTCACACAATACTCTCTACACGGCATTCTGGAGCCCGTTTTCCTGAGGGAAACTGAGGCTCACAGAGGTAGTGCTCTGAGGCTGGCCTGCCTGCCTAGGAAAGTTCCCATCCAGCAGTAGCCAGCTCCGCCTCCAGCCGCCAAACCATCCCCCACCGGAGGCCAAGGCCAAGGTCAGGGCGGAGCCTCCTCCGCCTCCATCGGCCTGTCTAGTCCCATCTGCCCCGCTGCTGGAGGCCCAGACCAGCGCCTCGGACGCGGATGGCTTTGGGTCAGCCGGGAAGCTGCTCTCCCCTCCCCGGGGGCCCATACTGGGATCTCACCCCGCCAGGGAAGCGCAAGATCCACTGTGTGGAAAGGCCTCTGCCATGCAGGGGAGAAACCACCCTACCATTCTGGATGATTCCATGGATCCACTGGGAATAAAACCTGTGCATGGGGGCGTGGGTTCCTGCGAGGACACCTGTCCCAAGGTCGTCGTGGAGGGTGGACCAGGGAGAAGTCCCAGCCTGTGCCCAAGACCTGGGGTACAAAGCAGCTGGGCCCTGCAGTGAGGAAGCCAAAACTTCCAAAGGGGACAGAAGGTCACAGAAGGGTTAAGGTCAGGGTGGAGACTTCTCAGGCTGTCCTGAGAGTGGTGGGGAGCTGCAGAGGGCATGGTGGTGCCGGAGTTCATCCATCCCACCTCTCATGGCTCTTCCCAGACAGCCTCAATGTTGGCCCCAGGCCTGGCAGGCAAAGTGCAGTAATAAGTGGTAATTATCAGCTGGGAGTCTTGTTTCTCAGGCTCCACTCTGGGACCCACTCAGGCCCTGGAAGAGTCAGGGGTAAGAATGTATAAGGCCCTGGCTGCCCAGAGGCCTGAACATCCATGTTGTCAATGGGGGGGGGTACTTGGGTTGCATCTGGGCACACCTGTCATCTCAGAAGATGGAGGCAGAAGGATCAGAAGTTAAAGGTTTGAGACCAGCCTGAGCTACAGAGACTGCCTTGAGAAAAACGAGACCCCAAAACCTTCATGCTGGGGTGAGGAAGCTCAGGTGTCATCAGAAAGCTTAGGAAACTGAGGCAGGAGGATTACCATGAGATCCTGATCAGCCTGGGCTACAGAGTTAGACCTGGTCTCAAAAACTCCAAGCCAGGGCGGTCCAGTCAAGATGGTTCAGAGGTTTATTCTTTATGGCCCTTGCTGCCAAGACTGAGGGCCTATGTTCCATCCCTGGGACCCACATGATGGAAAAGAGAACCGAGTCCTGAAAGTTGTCCTCTGACTCCCCCCACACATATACAAAAAATAAAATGGAAATGAACAGAAGTCCAAAACCAGAAGCCTCATGCAGTCGTTCAGGCCCGTCATCCCAGCACTTGGAAGGCGGAGGCAGGGGAACTACAGTGAGCTTGTCATCAGCCTGGGCTACAGAATCAGACTGTCTCAAAATGGCCAAATCAAAAAAGAAACAAAAGAACGGTAAGCCCCTCGAACCCTGCTGAGCCCAGTCTGGGTCAGGACTCCTAGCTACTCTTGGCTGGACAGGTCCTTCCCATCGCCCAGACTCAGTTGACCATCTGCAGAGGCAGGAAGTCAGACTTTAGGCATCCGGACTCCTCCCAAGGAAAATGACCCGGAGCAAGTGCTTCCAGCAATTTCTGGGTACCCGCCTCTGCCTTCACCCATCTTTTGGGACTCAGCACAAAGCCGGCGGGTTTGCACAGCGGCGCCCGGAGGCCCTCCGACGCAGGCAGGGGCGGCCGAGATACAAACGCCCGTCGGGGGCGTGGCCTGAGTCGGGCAGGGCATCTGGGGCGTGGCTTCGCCAGAGCCAGACCCACCTCACCACAGGAGATGTGCCAGAGACATAAAGGGGGCGCAGAGAGAGACAGGACGGGAGGGAGAGATTGAAGGGGGAGAGAGACAGGAGGTATAGGATTGAGAGAGAGGAGAAAGGAGGGGGAAGAGAGAGACAGGAGGTATAGAATACGGGGGGGAGAGAGGAGGGCAAGAAAAGAGGGAGGGGAGAGGAGAGGCGGGGGAAAGGCAGGAGGTATAGAATAGAAAGGGAGAGGGGGAAACAGGAGGGAGGAGCGAGGGGGTAAGAGAAGACGGAGAGGAGGCCGAAAGAGGCAGGAGGTATAGAATGGAGGAGGAGGAGGGGGAGGGGAGGAGGAGAGAAGGAGGGGGAGGGGGAGAGAGAGAGCGAGATTAAGACCGAGAAGGAAAATGAGAGAGACTGCTAACCGCCACTTCAGGCCAGGATTGGTGACCCGACCGGGCCGTGCTTAGTCCCGCCCCATGACGTCAACCCACAATGCAGCGCGCTGTTGTGCCGTGTAGCCTGCGTCGTCTATGGCAACCGCCGCGACCAGGGAGGGGGAGCACGGGCGCCCTGGGTCCTGCCTCTTTATGCAAATCTACGACGTCACCCCGGACCAATGGCGAACGGGGGCGGTGAGCTCATCGTCCCTGCCGAGGCTATAAGGGCGCACGCAAGCGGCGCGGGACCGAGAGGCCGGCAGCGGAGCCGGGCAGCGCAGGCAGCGGACTGGGGGGCGCGCGGGGCCCCCCGGGGAGGCCGCGGCCACTCCCCCCGCCCCGGGGTCGAGCGCGGCGGGGGAGGCGGGGGGGGGAAAGCCCTTCCTCGGGGGGGGAGCGCTGCGGGGCCGGGGGGCTGGGGCGGTGGGGGGGCGACGGGC